GTGTGTAGGTGTGCGTGTGTGTGTCATTCTGCACAGTACCTGCTCCAAATGAATATTCTTGTAGATGACAGTCTGGTTCCATTCTGGGTTCATGGTCTTCTGGGCATACCTGGTCCTTCTCTTGTTATCAGCACTGATAAGTCATGATATTCAGAATGATTGTTTGTCAGTAATAAATTAAAAGTTCTCTTCCCTGTCTGACCCCATGGCAAACATTCACCAAACTGCGATTCAATAAAGGTGAACTGAATAGATGTTTGTGAAATAGTCAATCTCCTGTTGTGGAGACATCAGAAACAAATCCAAAGTGTTTTTTAAATTGTCTGGTTTTGACTAACATGATTTTACAAAATCACAAACTATTTTCGAGATTGATGCTGAGGAGAGTTAAAAGTGAGAGGCGTGGAGAGAAAAAGCAATGAGAGGAGTGGTCTTAAACACCATGAAATACAGCAGATAATTGGACGAACAACAAAGGCCACAACAAAAGGATGGAAAAAACCACTTTGGAGACATAATTTACAGAAAAGAAAAACACCAACTAAAAGCAAAGATCAGCACCACACTACCTTGCATTCTGGACAACCATGACTTGGCTGAGGGAGTCCAGAAGAGGAAGAGGAGGGCAGATATCACAAACAAGAAAAGCAAAAACACAAAAAACAGTCAGAGAAGCCCAGAGAGCTCAAAGAAAAGGCAGTAAAGGATAGAGAGCTGAGGCAATCAATATTATATGCTGGGTGTATCACTGTTTATGTGCCCAAGCAATGTATGTAACGCAAGACCAAAAACCTCCCAACGGTTACAATTGGCTCATGGGTGAATGACTTATTCACAATTCTGAGCTGTTGCTGAGATACCGTAGATGTGCACGCTACTGCTAATGTCAGACAAATACGCTTTAAAATACTCTTCAAATGAAACAGCAGGGGGACAAAAGTGCCTACTCCTCCTACAGAGCTTTTATTTCTAACCTACTATATATTGTGCTGTTTGGTAGAGAGGGTTTATAACCTCATAAACAAGTCAGATGGGGTCATTATCTGAGAGCAGATACTGTTACAGAGCAGATAAAAGCTGTATCGATCCTTTCTCTTGCTATTCACTGGCTCTTGGGAAGACGGTGGAGCTGACAGGATAAGAGAAGGAAGCCCAGCTAGGTCATAATATAGGGGACAATAGTAAAATGCTCACTTCAGTCAAAAGTGGGTAGAGTAAGAAAGAGCTTGTGAACTCAGCATTCTGTAGAGTATGTTTGCACACATGTCTATGACCAGGTCATTTGAAACACTACAATGTTGAACTATGGCAAAGTCTCTCCTATCATAGATTTTTATGAAGTCTACCGCACCCATCCATTGATTCATAGACTGAATCAAATTACAATACAACTGACTGCCTCATGTCATCATGTCCAGTCTCATTCTCTCATACAAAGTTAGTAAGTTCCATACAGCACACTCAATACAAAGTCAGAAAGAAATAGGGGGAGAGAAAACAAGACAGACACAGAAGCAGAGAGGGAGACAAAGACCAGACATTTGTGAAGACTTAAACAAACGCAGAGCTCACCCTCTCCCAGGTAAGAGGTAAACTTTGACAAAAGGGTCAGAGTAGCCGTCGTTGTCCCTCTGGGCCAGGTTTCTAGCCTGCAGGACGTGAACGATCAGGTTTCCTAGGTTCCTGTCATAGTTGATCTGGAGCTGAGGGAAAAACAGTGGAGGCGAGGCTCTGTGAGAAAGATCAAACTAAAGATGAAAAAAATATCTAGTAGCCTACTTTTTATGTTTTCATACCTGAATTTCTCCAGTGATGGGATGAGGTATTTTCATTACCTCTGTTGTCTACAAAAAAAAGTGGAGAAGAAGAGTACACAGTGGTTGTAAAATGATTGTCATTACCCTGGGATTAGGTTGCTGTAAATGGTGCTCTGACTTCACTCTTGAAATATGTACTGTGAGCTTACAGATGAATGGGTTCTCCTTGTAGAAATGATGCAGAGTAAAGATTTTGCATTAGAGCTATGAGCCTCAGGAGAGATTTGACTATCTGAGCCGTGTAATTGACTGCAAAAGTCCTACATTGAAGATGAAGAAGGTTAACCATTTATTTGAGGTGCTTAGATATTACTTGTCTATTTTAGTTTTGTTTAATTTCTAAAATACAAATTTATTATTATCATTATTATTATTATTTTAAATTATTTGTTTTATTCATCACCATTTATGTTACAAAAGACAAAAGAGAAGATCTTCTTTTTTTATATAAGTGTGATGCCTTTCAAGAATCAAGCATTAAAACATTGGTTTAGAATGAAGTACTTACTTAGTACATATTGCCTATTTCACGTGTAAAGGAACCCACAGCCAAGGTCATGCACTGTACCACACAGTTTTCGTGTTCCATTATAATTGGCCTGTCACTCTCTGATGATCACAGTCACACCATTTGACCTTCATGTGCAACCTACCCTTTGTACTGTATGATGTAATACTAATGGAGGCGTATGACAGGTTACGCAAGATTCCCCAGACTTCAGCTTAAAACAGATTCATACTATTATTCATTCATCAGACTAGATTTACATTTTGCACAATGTATCAATCTTTGAGCAATCTATGAACCAGTTGTTCACTATTTATAGGTTCACTTCATGTCATCACATTGTAAACTAAACTCTTCACAACTGAAAAGAAATAGTAGTCAAATCCACTACCTTGTGTCGTTGTTTCTTGTTTATGGCCGGGGATGCAGGCTGGCCGGGGCTTGGCACACCACTGGAGGCAGCTGACCCAGTACCCGAGTGGAGGAGGGCAGAGCGCTCCAGTGCAGAGGGTACCCCCAAACCCGCAGGCCCAACCCCTGCTCCTGCCACACCAGGACCCTGCTGCAGGGACACCTTCTGCAGTTCTGCAGCCAACTGCTTAGGGTCCACACCTGGGGAACGTTGCCCACCTACTAAGACAAATGTGTATAATAATGCACATTGTATTTACGTGATGCATGTAGACGTATCAACAAATCAAACAACAAATTGTACATACCAGCCTTAAGCTGGACATGGTGCTCCAGGGCTTGTGGGTGCTCAGGGTCAGACAGCATATTAAGGTCGCTGTTTGGATCCATACAGGAAATGTGTGATTGAATATCAACCAGTGTATCTTAGCAGTAATCACTCACAGAGAGATATTTGTCAGATGAAGGGGGGTGGAATAAAGAGAAGTGAAAGGAGGGAGGAGAGAAGGTGTACATGGGTGAAGAGTTGCCATATTGCGACTAAACATGTTGGAGTTTCAGTGGGATAGAGGGGTAAATGATGACAGATGTAACTCACAGCCTCACGCAGAGCTCCGCCTCTGCACATGGCTGGCCCATGATGCACTGCACTTCTTCATAAGTCTTTGCCGTCAGAGGGACTCCATTCCACTCCAACACCTGCATTCCTGTGGTGTGATAAAGACCATAAAGCAGATTCAGAGACAAATTGGTGTTTTCAATTCTCAGACAATATGTTACAGCCTGGGGTATTTCATTTCACCTCATCTCAACATATGAAACAAGATTCAGTCTGGTTAGTGCAGCCTACATGTTCACATAGCATAAGTTATACTTCCATTTGGATTACACCCAGTGGAAAATTGTAATAATCTAATTTTCAATTTGCCTTTTGTTTTGAATTCCATCATCATAGCATTACACACACACAGCACAGCAACATGAAACTACAGTTTTTCACACACTCTTATTTGATTTTACTCAAACAAAGAATGGCATTTCAGAAGTAAAACAAGTGAGACAAAACAACACATTTCAAAACTTAGCATTAAAATATGTAAATTAATGCATGTATGTTATATATTATATCATAACAATAATCAGTGCACGGCAAACTCAAACCACCAACCCAAGGCCAAAGCTGTATGAGGCCTCACTTACACAACTGAAAACTGGTCTTCAGATTTGACTTCTGCTTATGAAGCAACTCACCAGCTGCTGTGACAATAAAGGCTTGAATTAATATCTCCATATCCTTCTGCATGAGCCAATGCTCATTTAGAGTATCCCCTGTGCTCTCTCAATATAATTCAATGTATCTTCCTCCACTGTATTTCTCTTTGCACCTGAAGGCATGTTCAGCTGCCATTCTCTTTCAGCGAAAACATAAACATCACATTTGCATAACTACAGTTCCACATATGCTAGTAAATATTGCCAGTCTGACCACTATTTATATTTCTTTATTACTAACTAATAATGCCACAAAAAGGGAATAGTCTAACATTTTGTGTTATATATTTTCCAAAAAACGAAATATATCAGGCCAGATACAAAAGAAGAAATACATTAGATGATCTGTCCTTCACCCCCTCCCCTGTGCAATAGCAAAGGCATGGCAGTCTCTTCTCATTGGAGAGAGAAACTGGAACCAATTTTGTCCCAGAAATATCCTCAAACTGCGGGATTTACCATTCATATTTAAGCTCTGTCCTTTCAATAAACATTAGCAGATTAATCATTTGAAAATTATATTAATTAATGTACAATTTGAGTAGGGAGTTCATAACGCTAAATATTGTGTATGTGTGTTGGTTTATGCCTGCCTTTGTGTATGTGTGTGCCTATCATGATGCTATATATAGCCTTATGACTAACATAGCCTACTGCTGTGGAGGGTGAGTTGACAGGCTTTATCTGTGTTTGGATGTGATGTGTTGGGGAATGAGACATGACAGACCACAACACAGACGGACACAGCAGCCTCTCACATCTCCATCTGGAATTCAGTGATTCAGGCAGGGATTTTTATTGAAGGCTTAGACTACTCTAAAATTAATAATAGTTTAAATATTTAAATTGACACTGTTAATCTCTCAGGCCTCAGAAATGATATTTCGTATCATGCAGGCTACAGTATCTGTCCAAGCAAAGTCAAATGAATGTACCTTCTATATCTTCATTTGAACAACATAGGTTTTTTTTTTATGGGTGAACTACATACTTCCATGTAGTTTTTTTCTTACTACACTTGGGCATATAAACAATACTTTATACCACTTCCTTTTCTCATTCTCCTCTTACCCTCTACAACTTTTCCTGTTTGTTCTGCCACACCACCAGGGATAACCTTGGCAATATAGGCTCCAATCTCTCCTCGGCTCCCTGGAATCTCCTTCCCACCCACCACACGGATCCCAAGTCCATTCCCTGAAGGAAAAGTAAACATCCAATCTTAATTAGCAAAACTGTGATAGAAAAGCATTGTGTACATAATCATTGTATGATATATCTGGGTGTTGTGTGTTTGCCTTACCTGACACACTGGTGTCCTTCAAGTCTCTCTTGAGCTTGATACAGGTGTGAGGGAAGGCATAAGGGACCAGTTTCATCTGAGAGAGATTTTTTTAAATACACCATTTTAGTTTACATACTGAAATTTCAAGTAAACAGCATAGTATAAAGTTGAATGTAGCTTCGATCTCACCTGTCTCCTGTCTGACATGTTTCCACTCTGTGGATGCCCTTCTCTTGGCTTATCAAACCAATCTGTGTCCTCTCTCCTCAAGTGGTAGGCTAGACAGGGAAAGGTCATGGTTAAAAGCCATGTACACACAAACACACACCTACTGCATCCCTGATAGCTTGATAAATCTCTGCTTTACGCAATGTAATAATAGTTTGGACAGAGATCAACCTTGCAATCAAGCTTTGAAAAAAGTTTCTAGTATGCATCACAAAGTTTTTCACATATCCATCCCTGTTTGCTCAAATGCAGGGAGATCTCTGATCTGTCCTGACAGGATAGGTGAAAGCAAAGAAGTATAACCTCTGTTCCATCCTATCCATACCGTCCGGGAGATCAAATGATCACTGCAAACACTGAATGAAGGATGAATACATTTAAAGAACATTTTAGGTTTGGCATGCTTTTGATACCATGCAATGCTCCCTGTGTGAGTATGAGGGCTCTTTTTTGTCCACATTTAGTGGAAAAAACATTTATGTTATATGAAACATTGTTGTTGAAAGAAGCTCTTGGAAGCTATGTATTATAATATTCATAACCATTTCAGTCAAAATACTGTGGGTTGGAGTTGTCCCATTGTGTGATTTTATACTTTTAATCATTGCACTGTATTTTTTTTTGACAAAATTATTTGAATGGTTAGAGCCGAGAAATGTCTACATGGTATTCAAATCCTTACCTACCTTGGTAGCTTATGGTATACGATCAAAACAACATAACTTTGAAGTGGTACTGTACTATATTAATATATTTCTAAAGAACTGTAAGTGCAGTGCACTGTGAAAGCCCCCAAAGCTCATCAGACATCAAATACCTTTTACAGTAAGCATGATATGTAACATCTGAAAGATATTGGATGTCTTGTGCCACATTTAGCATCAATATTGCACACATCAGACTACTGCTTACTGCTATAAAGCAAAAATATTCTTAGGCCATGGTAATGAGACAGTTTGGTGCGAAATGCTCTACATTAAAAACGTGAGTCATCACTTTGGTGTTCAGTGAAATAGATTGTCACTAAGAAAAGAAGGTGCACAGATCTGCCAAACGTTCCATTCTATTATCAGTGATCTAACTCCACCAAGGGGATGCACCAGTAATGATGAAGAGAAATGACCTAATGATCATTTATGCTGAAGGTAAATGTTGCCTGTTATCTACATGTCTTAGATTAAAGAGCACTGCTTATCAGTTCTTATCAGTAGAGTTTTGTGATCTAGAATCAGTAAACAGTGGCAACATCGACCTTCAGAATTATATTAAAAATTGTAGAAAATGCATTAACATATTTGCACATAATAGCAATTCGAACATATTTTTGAGGTAACAATTATGCATGATTACACAATATACACGTGTTTTTATTTGCAAAAGTGCATGAAAATGAATACTAGAAATGGGTCTGATATGCTAACAAAACTAGTGTGATGCGCATGATGTATAACTGAGGTCACTACAATATATGACACATAAAAGATATCTAGTGTCATTAAGATGGGGTTCATTCCAGAATGGATCTGACATGTCAACCACTAGAGATCTGCTAAATGACATGTATTGTGTACTGTTGAAATGTGGGTCATTCCAGAATGAGTCTGGTATGTTTACAAGACCAACCATAGAAGTGGATCATTCAGAACCATGATGTGCAGCATGGAGGCATACAGTCTCTATTGTAACTACATGGAAATTGGGATGCTGTCTCACCTTCTATATTCCAGTTTGGGCCTCCAGCTGGGGTACAAAGTTATATGTTTTTTTCAGAAATTCGTTCAACATATGTTCATTAATCTCACAAACTACAGGAACTGGTCTAACACTAGATTTGTATTGTGAAAATACTTCAGCACATGCACTGAAAGCTGTAAGATACATGCTTGAAATTACTGCAAGTCTGATACTACTAGCCTGTGAGTCTAGAAATTTAAGCAGAAGCATTGTGAAAAACATAAAATACATTTTAGGGAAAAAAGCCTTTTATCAATTAATGGAAGACGTTAAGTCATAAGGGTTTTTAACTAGTACTGTAAGATACTCTACCGTGTCTGATACTTTCATGAAAGATTCTGGCATCGTCTCTGTTCAAAGCCAGCATGGACTCACTTAGTGCTGTAATCAAGGCAGATGTACACTTTTACATGGGGTCAGGACAGATATAAGCTTCTTATCAAGAATTTAACTATACTAATACTTTGAAAATGGCCCAGAAACAAAGCTAAAGTTGCTAAACATATTTTTTACTGTTATGTATTGTGACGCTTATCTGATACTTAATGTGGATGACGTGACACCCTCTTAAACTTAGTCCTAATTAGGCAAGTCTTTTACAAAATGTCTTTCTTATTGCACTTTTAGCTGTGTCTAAGATTACTTGTTTCTACTAAAAACCTTAAGAATTATGAATTAACTTTTCATATGGCATATTGATATCTACAAAAAAGGATTTTCCTAACCTAATGGAACACTACCAATCCCACGCTTACAGAGATGGGGATAGTACATGACATTATTTGCTGTCAATCACTAGGGGGCACAGACATCTCACATAGCAATGAGACATCCACAGCAACAACCAACAAGCAGAAAACATTGACTTTATTAAGATGGAAATGGAAAACGTATTGCACAACATGCAAGGATGCAAAGTCAGATACAGATAGAAAATCAAATATATATAAAAACAAAGATATACGGTTAACAGAACACAAATAAGACACAATAATATGATGCTAGATGTAAGTTTTGACAGTACACATAATTGCATGGTAGTCATTGAGAGAAAGTCATTATATTGTAATAGTTAACATAGTTAACATTTACATAAACAAATTGTATGACTTTTAAACTGGCAGGTGTGTGTCACTGATTTGTCACTAGAGAAATAACTACACAAAGTGAATGCTTTGACTTCATCTGCGTAACACTTAAGTACATCCAGACACCATGATTCAGCAGTATTCCTTTAGACTTACTGCTGTTAGTTGGTCTCGAAAATAGCTGAAAGGGTGCCTTAGAAAAGTAAATATACTTCTTTTCGAGGTGATGGCCTACTTCTCACAAAGACACTATTTTGCTCTGCAGATTGGTGTGGGAGGGCTGAAAAAAAGAAAGAGAACATCCCTATACACCCTTGTCATACCTTCAGGTAAAAGTTTCTGCAGCTAAGACAGCTTTCAGATGGTCTAGATAGCATTTGACACTCTAAATACTATTAACCAAACATTTTGTATATTCTGTATATGTATTTCATGTATATGTTTACATGATTTATATGAGGCACTTCACATATGAGAAGATGATTATTCTTACACATTAATTTTACTATATATTTTTACATCATTTTGTTATTTAAGATTGACTTACACATTTTAGGACTTTTTTTAGAACACAAGGCTTTTGTATGTAAATTGTAATAAAGGTTTTTCTTCGAATCTCACTTTTAAATCAAATTATATTTAAAAAAATACTCTGACAGTCTGACATTGTAAGTCAATTTCTGAATAACCACTTGTGTACCATTACATGCCACAACCTCTCTTAATATAAATATTTGCAGGAGTGAATTCTCAGTGACTGTGTTATATCTACCATGCATTCAGTCAATGTGACCAGTGTAGATGCTTTCTTTAGGGTGACTGTAAAATTGTATTGCTCAGATTTTCAATGTTTCTTACTAATAATAAGGCAGCCATAATGTGGACAACAATGAATGAAGTTCAAGCCCATAGATTTTGTCCATAGAATTTTTAAGGGTAATGATGATCATTTAACTGTGAAGGACTAAAGAAATTGTAAAATAAAAAGACAAAGCATGCTAATGAAATCACAGAACAAACATGGATAGAACTGATTAGTGACATACATAAACTCAGGCAAAGAGTATTATGTATCGGAGAATAAGATATTTAAAAGAAAGGAAATAGCATGCAAACATCTAACGTGACATTTACCGTGACAGAGGGAAATATAGTAACCAACAACCAACAACAATTATCTGGAGAACTGATGGTTGAGAAAGAACCAGTTAATGCACAAAGTCAGTAAGACCACTCAGCATTAGCATGCGTGACAAGCAGATCCAAACAGTCGAGTTTCTGCAACAGTCTCAGGCTCCATTTACCTTCGCTGTCAGACATGGCGCCTTGCAAGTCATCCATGATGAATGCGATGTCTCGATCATAGCCACGCGTCCGAGATTCCTCCCTCATATGTTGCTGTACCTCTGGCAGGGAATGGCTAGACCCAAATTGGTCCCTGGAGTCAGCAGAGATGGGAGGGAGAGGTCCAGCTGAGGCTCTAGCCATACCCATAGGCTGCCCTACAGGGCTCAGAGGGCTCTCCTCTTCAGAGTTCTGAGCCACAATGGGAATACGGCCCCGGCTTTGGCTGATAGGTAAACTAGTGGGCTTTGCTCTGGCCACCCCAGGGGCAAATGCTGCATCCAGAACATCTCCTTCTGTTTTAAGTCTAAGTGAGGAGCTGGATAAGTCCCGTTTGATAGATAGATCCAAGCCATAGACAGAAGAGGGGCGGGAGGAGGGGCGTGATGAGGGTCGGGAACGGGTGCCACTTGGGTAGGTGCCATCATCTTGGGCAGTGGACCTGATAGTGGATCCAAGTCCAAGGGATTGCCCAAGATTAAGAGAACCAGCTAGGTTGGCCCCCAGGGAGGAGCCCAAATATTTTTGCTGCTCCGACAAGTTCTTTCTTAGCCCAAATGTAATCTCATCCTGGAGTAACCTAGCCGTGGCAGCTAGATTGGTCACAGAGGAAGCTCCAGATCCTATGTAGCTGCCAAAGTCAGGCTCCAGGTCCCTACTCTCCTGAATTGGGGAAAATTTAGTAATGGCCTTAGGGTCTATTAGGGCCTTTTTGTTCTTCATTTGTTTCTGGTAAAGAACAGCTGCTGGGAGTTGCTTTGCAGCCTGTTTTTCAAGGGTGAGCCTGCCAATGCTATATTTTTCTCCTTTAGGAAAGTGGCGAAAACTGCTATCACTGGGGAGATACTGGGGCAGGCCCAGGCCTGTTAAGTGTTCTAGTCCCTCAGTTCCTCGTCTGAACTCTTGCTTAATCTGCTGCTTCAGTAGCTTCAGTTCATAAGGTTCCTCCATAGTGTCATCTTCTCCTTTAGTATAACTCTGAAGCCGAGATGAGCCTAAAAAATCTGCCACCTAAAAGGGAAAATAATATGATTGTTGTTTTCTCCACAGTAATATGAACTAAACCCACACAATAACAAACGTTTTTTGTTTTTATGTGTGGTAGATATATTTTAAGAATAAGTGATCAATAACATACAGTATATAAAGAAGTGGCCAGACTGATCCATTGTGCCTACATTTGTTTGTAAATATATGCCTAATGTGGAAAGGCTGAACCTCTAGGAACAGATGGATACTTTCTATGGACATAGACAACAGTTTCACCAATACACTGTAGTGTAAGACCCATAGCTAAAGCTCTATTTATTTGCTACATCCTAAACAGGCTAAAAAATTTATGTTGGGAACAATAATGTAACAATACAGTATTTACCTCTGCTGTGCGCCTGACTTCTGCCGCCCTTAGTAGTCTGTCTGCCTTGGACAACTCCTTATCAGGCAGGTTGAATCCAGAACCCAAGCCGGTGTTGCTCAACCCTGTTGATGCCTTTGTTAGCTCCCCTATGTCCTCTATGAGCACGTAGTTCCTGGCGTTGTGGTGGTCAATATCAGCGTAAAAGGAATCAGCAGAAATGCTAGACATGGGACTAGAAGCCATGCTCCTCTCCTCTAGTCCCAGCCTCAAGTCCAAGTTGCCATACTTGCCCCCCAGGTGAGCCACCCCATAGCCACCTTCTGTGGAGGTTGGCACAATGAGCAGAGGCTGGTTGCGCATCACTTCATAGTTGGTGGTGATCTTAGGCTCTAAATCAGACAGGGTGGTTTGTCGCTGCTTTCCCTGTTGCAAAAGCAGAGCATGTTGGTAGCTGCTAGGTTGAGCCTGGGCATGGGAGAGGGATAGGGTTGGGTAAGGAGACACCTGTTGGTGGTAAATGGACTGCTGCTGATACAGGTTCTGCTGCGTGTAGTGGCTGGTAGTTTGGGTCTGTGGAACATACTGAGCATAATGAGAGTAGGGACTAGTTAGCGTGTTGTACTGGGAATCAGCTTCTGTCTGTGGGGGAATGAATTGGTCAAACTCCGACTGGGGAGCAGTGCGTGGTCTCTCCAGGCCATCAGCCCTGGCTTCCCTGATGTTGCTAACCTCACTGTCTGACATGTAGTCTCTTTCCTCTGCCACCCCCTGGAGATAGGCCCTTTCTCTCTTTTCTCTCTCCTTCAGCAAGGCTTCCTTACGCCGGTTGATACCCATCTCCAGGTATCTACAGTAATAATAAAAAAGGATACATATTGTTTTACAATTTTAGCACTAATAGTTCTATTAACATTACAACCAAACAGGGATAATGTTCTGGGTTCTCACACATTAGTACCTTTTACTATGTGTGAGTGTGGAGAGGTCTCACTGAGTCATGTCAAGGCAGCCTTTTAGCCCATAAGCTATCAAGGTAAGAGGGGAATCATGCAGATGAATTAGGAATAATGATTGCATGAGAGGGATGAATGCAATGGTACTGGTTTTATCATCCATCATTGGCAATTTACAACATACTAACTGGTTACTAACATTATTTATTTGAATTACTGTCACAGGGTCTGAACAAAAGCTTATATCCTGAATTGTGTTGATTTTAAATCTGTGGCATCTCACCGTAGCTTGGCGTCAATCTCCTTTTCCTCTTCATCTAGCTCAGCCTGTTTCTTGCGAAGTTTAGAAGATTCTCTCTCCACCAGATCCAGCTCTTTGTCAATGTCCTGCAGGATCTTTGCACGGGCCATTGTTGTACTGCGGGCAAGACGGCGACGAGCAGAGTTGGTGCTGTAGCCTGACCGTCCTGTCAGAGAGTCGTCCTCAGGAGGGGGGTCTGGTAGTGTCCGTTTTACCTTCTTACCTGTGCCAGAGGGAGAGCCTCGGCCCTAGAACATGAAACAAATGATACATTGTCAATAATTGAATGAGGATTAAAAACACATAATTATTGTTATCAGTAATGTCCAGACAGTCCATATTTTTTCCATTTATATTCTGAAATAACTTACAGAATAGCTGTCTGCATAGTATCCACCCATCCTGTCTTCTGTGGTAGGACTAAGGGATTTAGGATCAGATAGAGACTTCTGACCAGCCTTTAATAGCCGAGGACCAGAGGAAAATCTGGTTGGGTCAGCTGTCAACATTCTTTGCCCTCCAAGTGACTTTTCCGGAGAAAGGGGAGAGACTGGGTTGTAGAAGACTTTAGACTTAGAGGGGACATCAGCTGTTAGGTGTGTGCTGTAGCCCACCTCAATGGGTGGGTGCCTTCTGTCTGGATCTGTCTGACAGCTCAGACTACCACCTCTCTGAGAGTTCTCTGGAGCTGAGATATGCTTGATGATTTCAACTTTAGTGTCCATTTGGACACTGGGTCGTTTGATACTTCCAGAGTGGTCAGTCTGGACTGATATCTCTGCCACTGTCTGGATAGCAATGCTAGAGACCTTGAAGCCATGTTTCCCATCACTGCTATGTTTTCGAGAGCGTCGTCGAGCTTTTGTGGGTGCATCCCATTCATCTTGGTCCTCATCATCAGTCTGAGCTGAGCTATCAACATTTCTCTTATTCTTCTTTCTCCTTCCTACATGCTGCTTCTCTGCTGAGTCTTCATCATCTGTCTGCACTCCACTATCAATTATTTTTTTCCCTGTGTCCTGATCAGCTTGAAGCTTCTTTACTAGATTAAGCTGGTCCTGACTTTCATCAAACTGTGTCCCAACAGATGGAACTGTAGACTCGTCTTTGACAGGCCAGTACTGACCACTGTCCCCTACCCCAGCATATTTAGCATCAAGGAGGTTCCCTGTGGTACCAGTGCTACCATAGTGCTCATCTAACTGCCGCTGCAGTTGCAGTTGGAGTTGTTGGATTTGTTGCAACTGCTCTTTCTGCTGGGCATAGGTCTCCTGCTGGGCCACCATATGGGCATGGTGCTCTTCCTCTTGCTGTAGAAGAAGCTGCTGTTTCAGAGCCTGAAGCTCCTCAAGCTCTCTTTGGACCATAAGCTGCTCCTGTTCACGGTAACGTTGGATTTCAAGCCTCTCCCACTCCAGTTCCTCAGCGAGACATAACTGCTTAAGCTTCTCTAGCTCTAGAAACTCCCTTTCCATTTGATACTGGGCCATCTTGGTGTTGTCTAAGCCAGGGAATATTGGGGAGGATGCTAAGGCATCCAGAGAGGCAGCTATTGCTTCCAGGGTGGTATCCGAGTACATGTCCGGATACCCTGTTATAATGTCAGCCAAAGCAGTGGGTAAAAGCTCCTTAGGTAGCCCGGTGTCAAAAGGGATTATCTGTCCGGGGTCTGTACTGGGAATGAAACCATACGGATGTGGCAATGTCTGGTTCTGGACTGTTGACGTAGGTGTTAAGGTAGTGCTAAAGACGGAACCTGGTTGAGTTGTAATTGCATACGTGGATGGAACTGGGGCAGCAACAGAGGAGTAAACTATTCCATCTGAGGTTCTTAAAACACTATTTACACCAAACCCAGCTGCAGGGACCTGGGAATATGGAGCAGTAGTCATCCCAGGGTAGCCTCCAGTAGCTTTGCTAGTGTAGTCTAGAGCTTTACCTGCCATAATCAAAGATAAAGATTTTAGCTTTACTTTATCAAATACATAAAAATTTCAGAAATAAACATATTGTACTGTATATGAGAAGGTCATGCAATTTGGATTTGAAAGGACTCCCACTGCACATGCATAACTGCAGTCATTTTGGTTAGCAAGATGCAAAACCAAAATATTGAGGGATCACACGCAGGCAAACACATGCATCTGTATGAAGACAAAAGAAAAAAGAAATACATGTATGCATATTAAACAGCAAGTTAAATTAAACAATTAAAGAAAAGCATGAATTAATAAACTTAAAGGAAAAACAACAACATGTCTTCAGTAAGCAAATTATAGGACTTGGCACAGTAAAGGTACAACGATTCAAATCTATTTAAATCAATCAAATGCAAGCCCGTTAAGTAAGCATAGAGGATGGTAATAAAAAAAACTGCAAACTTAGGAGAAATACCCCCATACTTACCAGCAGAAAGTTTGGCAGCAGTAAGGTCTATGGCGCCATCTGAAGATCCACTGAGATAGTCATAGTCATTCTTGGGATCATAGGGGAACAGTCCTGCCTCTGTCAGGTTGGTTTCCGACATTGAGGCTTGTATACCATGCATGCCTTTAACACCATACAGTCCAGCATTGTCATATTGGTAGTGATCATCTCTATAGCCAAAACGGTTGTCAGGTTGGGTTGTAACCGGAGGCTGTGTTCTGCAGCTTCCTGTGAATGGTAGCTTGTAAATGACATCACAGCACACACTCCTCCTACCAGCTGTAAGGTCAACTGGAATCCCATCATCCTCTACAACAGTGGTCACTACCCCTGGGCTTGTGCCAGACAAAGCTACCATAGCTCTCATTGGTCTATAGTTTGAAAGATCCATGGCCCCTGTGGCCTCCAGAGAAAGGACAGGATATCCATTGCTGATAGCTGCTGGGCCTGCAGTAATTGCCTGTTTGCCTCCTGTGGAGACTCCAAATGAAAGATTAATGGGTATGTCTTGAGCTGTAGATGCTATAGCACTGACTACAGCTTGGGAGTTCACAGGTCTGTATACAATCTGTGCTAGCGGTTCAAATGGTTTGTATGTAGTGAGAGGCAGAGGCAATGATGTAACAGGGCCCTGCAAATCAAGCGGTTTCTCTGCTGGAGTGTTGTTATATGAGGCAATGGTGGCTGTGCATGTGACTATTGTGATGCTGTCAGTGACAACAGACAGTGTGGTTGCAGGGGTGATCTCTGCACTAAGATTTACAATCTCAGGTTGCACTGCTGTGATTTGACGCCCACTAGTGTCACTTGAAAAAGACTGTCGACATGACTCAGGCGGTGTCAGATCCATGCCTTGTTCAGTCATCTTTACGCCAACCTTCATGGTACGTAAATCGATAACATCACCAGGGTAGATTATTTTCCCATTCTGTTTTGGTAGAGTTTGAACTTTAGCTACGTCTGGTTGTATAGTGATTGCCACACTGGGTTGGGGGATCTGAGGAAGTCTTTCATGGACAACAGAAACAGTGGTCCTCTGGACCTCAGTAGTGACCACCTGGGTGACCAGGCTAGGCAGGTTTTCAGGAGGCTGGCCTGAAGTGGAAATTGAGGAAGAATACATGTGACTCATACTCGAGACAACCTTTTCTGGTCCTCGAATTTCTTGGCTCTCAATAGATTCTTGCTGAATTTTAGTGATGGTGACTGGAGCCACAGATACACCCTGTGGAATGTCCAGTGCAGTGGGAATTGAAGTTCTCCTGGTGTATGCTTCAGTGGTTATTATTTCCAGAGGATGATCATATTCTGATGAACAAGGTAATACTTGTGGTCTTTGTTCTGTTGAAGGAATAGATCCTCTCCTATAGGGAACCTGAACAGCATGACCATCAATACAAACATCTCTTTCAGCTGGCATGTTTACTACCTGTGCCAACTGTAATGGTTGCTGCATGGTTTTGGATTCTCTCCTGGTGGAAGCAAAGGCCTCAGTTGTAACCACCTGTGTGGGCATTTCGTACTCTGCAGGATAAGTAAATATCTCACTTGTGGTGTATGGTTGCTGTACCATGGAAGATATAGATGTTCTCCTCCTACTGGTGGTTTCTTCAGCTGTAATAACTTCTACTGGCATCCCAGCCGCTGCCTGAGGCTGCATTGAAACTCTTCTTATATCAACATCCTTTGTCATAATCTCTGTGGGTGTTTCACGTTCTGGCTGCAACGATATGACCTCGAGTGGTGGTGTTGAATGTGACATGACTGTTGATGTAATTGCTCCATAGACCTGAGGTAGTTCTGGCTGTACTACCATTTGTTGAACTTCCACCCCAAGAGGTGATGGTGTTACTTCACCAGTTGTTGGAGTTGTCATCTTAGCAACTGTAGTTAGTTGCATTAACTTAGCTACTTCAGGTGCTGAGGTAACTTCAGGTAGAGGATGAGGTACTGGAAATACTGTTGCTACTCCTGGCATTCTAACAGCAGAGTCTGTTGTAATGACTTCTGTAGGTAATTCAAACTTTGTAGGAAAGGTCACGACTTCAGCTACAAGAAGTGGTTGTTGTGTAGATAGCTGCCCTGTCACTAAAGGCAGACCTTCTTGTGGTACTGATGGGAGCTCAGCAGTGGTGTAAGTATTGTTAAAACCTGTTGGCAAATCTTGCTCTGTAGAGTGAGTCAACGCTTCAACTATTGTAAGTTGCTGCTGAACAGGAATTTGCTGACTAACTCCTGGTATCGGTGATCTTATTGTAACTGCCTCAGTGACAATGACATCAGTAGGTATATCCTGCTCTTTTTGAACCATTTCTATCTGTGTTGCAACATATGGATAAAAATCAGTTGAGGGGAATGCAGCTTGTCTATTTTGGGGAAATAGTATATCTAAAGGTACCTCAGGCTGCACTGACAAAACAACATCCGTCAGAGGCTGTGGCTGCACAGGTACAGTTGTTATTGGGGCCTGATGAACTAGTACCTCAGTTGACATCTCTGGTAAAACTGTTATGATCTGTGTGGCTATGTTTGGATGCTGAGAAACTGATGGTACAGACTGTGCTCTTGCTGTGGCTTGGACTGTTAGTGGTTGAATAAGAACCCTTGTCTCTGGAGGCACTGTGATGACCTCCGACATTGCTTTAGGTGGTGGCAGTGGCTGAGTAATTGATTGTTGCTGCTGCACATATGGTTTCTTAATTGGAGGAGGTACACTATATACCTTTATAGAAGTGTCCTGACCTGATGACAGTGTGATAGCATCAGCCACATATGGTGGTGGTTGCACTACAGAAGGCAGAGAGTCTCTCCTGGCTTGCATTTTAGCAACTACTTCCTCAGAAGCTGTAACTTGCTCTACTGCCACATTTGGAGATACAGGTGTTGGAAGTGGATGCCTTACAGTGGGGACAGAGGCTCTCCTAACTGTAGCCAGTGCTGAAAATGCCTCAGTGGGTGTTTTTTGCTCTGAAGGTGTGGTCCGTACCCCTGACACTTTTGCAGATGGAATGGAGCCTCGTCTTACAGGTGCCTGGACTGTTATTCCCTCTGTTGGTGAGCCAGGCTCAGATGGAAGGGTTATCACAACATAAGTTTGCAAACATTTTGCATATCTAGGAGACAAAGGTGACTTAGGAGATGTTGCACCCAACTTAGACTCCACAGGTCGTGTAAGGCTAAGTGACAGAGCATTTGGTGGTTCTTTGGTCCTAGGCAGTGTTGCAGCTTTGGGAACCACAGGAGGAGGAGGTGGCTTGACACTCTCTCCTGGCTTGTGGCTGAAAACCAGTCCTGCTGGAATTGATATAGGCTTAGGTGGTATAGGTGGAGGAGGTTTGGTAGTTTGACTAGGACCACTTGTAACAAAAACTTGTGGAACTGTTGGTGTAGCAATTGTCACTGCAGTTGAAACTGGTGGCTTTGGATAACCAGTTGGTTTGGGGACAGTGGTAGGAGGTGGCAGAGGTGTATCTGCTACAGGTATTTCTACTATGTCTATCACTTTTGTCTCTGCCATAGGTTTAGGTGAAAGTGGTGGAGCTGAAGCCACCGGGACTACTGACACCTCACTGGTTATCAAAGCTGAATCTGTGCTGGGTATATTTGAAGCAGGGTGTTTGGCTATTTGACTAACTTGTGGCAGATAAGGAGTGGAAGCAATTGGCCCTGCACTAGTTATATCTTGTGGGGTTTGTCCAAGCAGAGATATGTTTTCCACACTGGGCACTATAATAACTACATGCCCTTGTCTGGTTGGGGTCACTACTTGAGGTACGGCCACACTATCTGGTTGTATGTCTTCCATTCTTGGCTGTATATCCACAACTACAGACTGCATTGGCTGACCAGACACTGTGGTTCCTATAGCTACGGTGCTGGTCACAGTAGTGGTGACCTGCTGAATAGGCCTTGCAAGTGGCAGCTCTGTATTAGGCTCAGGTAATGATACTGAAGTAGACCGAGGGGGAGGAGGGGGCGGAACCTTCTTTTTGACTATAGTAGTTGATGCTGGAGCTGGTGCAGGAACCTGGGCTGTTTGAGTAGGAGCTGGGCCTACCACTGGGCTCATAGATGGGACGGCTGGTTGCACAGGGACCGAGTGTAACACTTTGGCTTGGGCTTGAGCTGGGGTAGTGACAAGTGCTGATACTGGTAGTGAGGTTTGTGCAGACATTGGAGATGTAGTTGAAACCAGGTCAGGCATCTGGACAATGACTGGCCCAGGACATGAAGCCAGAGTCATAGAAGCAGAAACAACATGGGTTGGAGCTGGAGTGGAGACTGTTACAGGTGTAGCTGATACTAGGGCTGTAGGTTGAGCTGAAACAACAACAGGTGCTGGACTCGGTGCTGAGACCTGTATAACAGCTGGAGCCTCAATAGGCACCTGAGACGGAGATGAAACCAAGTCTGGCATTTGAACCACAATAGGTACAAGTGTAGATGTCTCCACTCGTGCTGGAGTTGGGGTTTCAGCTGTAGAAGCCTTAACTGGAACTATGGCAGTTGTCTGACCTTTGGCAGGATCAGACACCACATCTGGAATTGTAACTATAACTGTGGTTGGGGTGGGATAAGAGATTAATCCCCCACTCGACTGTACGCATGCAGTTGTGGCAGGTGATGGTGGCAAGATCTCTGGGGGTGATTGGGTTACAAATGAAGTTGGAGGCGTTGGTGTAGACAGTGGCGTTGAATCTGATGAAAGAGGTGTTTGAGCCTGGAATGAGGATGAAGATGTAGCATTAGAAGCCAAACTGGAATCTGGAGTGGCTGGTGAAGTTGGAGGTGACAATGGTGATACGGGGGAGGGTGTAGTGGTCAGCTCTGGTGCAGATATTGGGGTTGGAATAGGTTTTGGCTCCGGAATTTCACAGACCACACAGATAGGTTCCATCTCAGGTGTTTCAGATAAAGGTGGGCTTATGGATTGATCTTCTTTAGTCTCAGAGTCATCACTGGGTGTAATGTCAGAGGAAATACCAACACCATACTCGTCTGCAAGACTGTCATCCTCTTCCTCCCCAGATGAACACTGGGTAATCTTGAGGTCTGGTATGGGGAACAATGCCTTTCTGAGTGCAGGATCTTGAGGAACCATAGGCCTAACAAAACCTATAGATCCACTAGGAGTACTGGGAGCAACAGTTACCTCTGAGCGCTTTGGAGGTTCAGTGGGGCGTGGTGGAGCTGGACGTTTCTTTTTCTTCACTGGCAATTCACTGGAAGTTTCTATCCCTGTAGGAGGCGTATCAATTTGTTCAGAGAGTGAGGTCTCTTCTGTGGCTATGGTCACCACACAGGTCTCAGCATCCAAGGAAACCCCAGTGAATGAAGCCCCTGATGAGGAAGTTTCCATGGCAGTCTGGGCCTGTTGAAACTCTTGCTCTATCATCATCAATTCTCTCTTTTTCTGCATCATCTCCTCATAAACCTCCTCTGGAGACCTGAGTTTTTTGAGAGATTCAGAACTGGTATCCTGTTTCAGTTCTTCCTCTTGAGACTCACTCATCTTAATTTCATGTTCCTCAACTAAGGATTCATAAAGATAGTCCTCTATTGCCATTCCTCCATAGAGTGGCTCTATATCAGGAGGACTCTCCCCTGGAATAGCTTTTGTCTTCTGAATAATTTCCTCATATGCTTCTTCAGCACTCCTCAATAATTTTGTCACAGTATCCTTTTCTTTAAATGGATCAGAAGAAATGTATGGTATCACTGTTGGTGAAGGCTTACGTCCTCTATGCAGAGCTTGCCTAGCCTCTCTTTCTGATTCTATACTTGCAGAGTACTCAGAGCCAGCCGTTCTACTGGTTTCATCCATTACAGTGGCCTGTCTCAGATCCTCAGTGGAGGAAGGTACTTCAGCTGGAGACAGTGGTCGGTCATGGGCCCTAAGTTCATCTTTCTCTTTCTTAATCTTCTCTTCCTCCCTCATCTTTTCATCCTCAGAGGAGTCTTCAATGGTAGGGAGAGGCTGTGTTGGCTGCCTGTGCTTAGCTTTGCGATGCTGTTTGTCCCCACTGATTTTCCTGTGACTGGGGCTGCTATCACTGTCCTCCTCCAGAGATGAAGCTGATGTAGGTGAAGCTCCTGGAGTAAAGCTAGATGCCTGAACACTAGATGATCCCTTTGACAGGGATTCTGTAATGCTCTCTACTTCCTCATCAGTGCTTTGTCTCTGTCTCATGGCTAGAGTAGCTTTCTTGAAAGTAGTACTGGGCAGTGTTTCAGGAACATCTTGATTAGTTGCAGTGTCAGTTTTTGGGAGGACCTTGTTCTTGGCTAGGCTGTCTTCATTATCTGTGCTACTTTTTCTTGACAGTGATTTAGCTGTCACTGAAGAATTATCAAGCTCAGCCCCCTTGATTGCTTTCTCATTTGCCAGATCCTTTTCTTTTTCATCTTCTGAAAGAGACATTTCTTCTTCATCCCCCATACCCAGTATCTGCCTGCGGATGAACTCTTCATCTTCCATATAAGAATCAGCACTTTCAGTTTTGATGTCCTCACTGCTAGATGAAACATTGCTCACCTCTAGCTTTCTCTGCTGGACTTTAGGTGAGGGTGAGGGTGTGAGCTCACTTTCACTGCTCTCATCCATTGCTTGGAAACTTAGGCGCCTTCTCTCAGCGTTGACTTCCTCCTTTAATGGCAAGGATGGATGGGTATCCATATCATTTTTATTTGTATCACTAACCACCTGCCCATCCTCCAGTTCTTGTGATATGGGTAAAATTTGGGGTTGTTCTTCATCATGCTCTTCTACTTTGGATTTAGGCTTAGTAGCTGCCGCAGGGATAACTATGTTCTCCAGTTTAACCTCCCCAGTAAATAGGGAGACCTTTCCTTCTTTTTCGGTTTCATCTTGCTCCTAAAAATGTGAGAAAACAAGATAAAAGTAAATATACTAGATATTACAGAAATGTTAACCTTTTACTTGTAACTGTAGCATGTTATTAAGAGTAATTCTACAGATGTCCCACTGCAGTGGGAAGATCATTCACCCAAGTCTTGCCAATATAAAATAAGTAATGGTGGTTAAAATATTGAAGACACACAAGAAACTAGTTTATAAGATATGTTCAGTTAGAGTTATTATCCATCACTAGTTTTTGGTGTCATCACACTGTAAGCCATAATGCCATTATATGATAAAATGAGGGACTAACAAATGATGAGTGAGGAAATGATAAATGTGCAAATAATGAAAATCACATTAACATAAATCTGCAATAAAAATCAGTAAGATAGTAATGATTAAAATACAACATACATATGGATATAAATGCATGGTGCACAACTTCAATTTTTTGATAGCATTTAGCCCTACTGCTAGAGGAGACATAACACAGGCTGCACATAGTTTGTCAGTTTTGCAACATTAATTTCAACACAGCAAGGAAATAGGCCATGGCTACATGTTTACTTTGTTATTTAATATATAGCCTGCCAATATTTATTTAATTTTTTTTTTCTAATGTTAAATTGAACATTTGTCAAAACAATCATTATTCTTAATCAAAGCCATTCTTACTGTTATGATGATGTTCTCTGTAGATACTAGTTGTGTCACTGTAGTTGAAGTGACATCCATAATCTTTTTAACCTGCTCATCAGCCACCTCCTTGCTGTCAGCTGCTACGACTGGCTCTACTTCCATTACCAGCGGTGGTTCTTGTGACTTTGGTTGCACCTTAACTTGCTGTAAAGATTGTGTTGGCTCTGTAAGTTTGATATGATCATCAGACTGTACTTCCTTAATAATCTCCTCGTAAACAGGACATTCTGGCTGTGTTTCAGTCTCTGGAACAACCTTAGCCATAGCAACCTCAGCAGCAATAGGGGAGGTGAGTGAAACTGTAGACTTAGTCACTGGGAAGGCGGATGCTATGACACCTGCTTCAACTTTGACTGTTGAAAGGTCAGGTTTAGACTCTTCAGTTTTGGGGAATTCTGACACACTGTACTCCAATTCCACTGCCTCTTCTTTACCTCCCACTTTTAAAGTCTTGGGAATATCTGCCTTTGGCACTTCAACCTTTTGTGTTACTTCTGTATGTTTCACAGGGGCCATGGCAGGTATAACAGAAGTAGCTGTGGATGCTTCCAAAGGCTGTTTTTCTGCTGTAACAGGTGAAACCTTTGCTGTTGTGGGTGTGAGTGTGGTCTCAAGCTCAATTTGTGCAGAAGCTGCTGTGGCTGTGGTTCCCATCTTGACAGATGTAGGCTCCATCTTTGCCTTTGCAGTTGGTACTGCCTTGATGGGGACAGGTGAGGGCTGTGATTCTGTGGCCATAGGGATGAGCTCTGCCTTTGTAGGGGCAGTTTTGGGCTCTGCCTTTTGGGTTGCCTGGTTGGACTGGGTCTCTGGCTTGGCAGATACAGGTGAAGGCTGGGGAATTTTTCCTGAGTCTCCCAACTGTCCCAATAAAGCCCTTTGAGTCTGGCAGTTCAGACACAGCCATTCCTTCTGTAAAAAAACAAACACAACATATAAATAGAAAACACCAATAGCAACCAATATTAACATAAAAACGCCTTACAGGCCCAATTAGTTATTTGTTTTTACCTATGGTATATCACATATACAATTGAAGACTGTGAGTTATATATTTAATTGGTGCCTAATCAGCATTTTGCCAATTTCTTATCAGATCTCAATTCAAAGTATAGGCCTAAAGTAGTTTTTCATATGATGATAAGAAAAGCAGGGCTTATTGCCCTATTATACTTGACCTGAGTGAACCCAACATACCTAAATGATCCCAGATTAAGCTGATCCACAAACCCAACTCACAAGAGCTAATAAGGCTAATTAAACATCAAATACTTTGTATTTGTTCAGCAAGATAACTGAAGCATTGCATTAATTGAGGCAGAGCACTGTGTTATGCTTGTATTAGCTGATTAGCATCAGCAGCTTCATCCATGCTTCGTCATCAGTAGCTACCAGATAACTAGTAACATACAATCATATTTATACAGGTAATCAGCACAGCTGGGGCTTTTGTAACCTGCTACTTTTTACTATCCCTGAACTGATAACAGTCATAACATAATTTGTAAGTACCTTACACAACATCCAGTCCAAAGACTACAGACACAGACAGCAACAAAAAACCTTTTAAACTCCTATCTAGTTGTCTGCTGTCTGGTCTAAATATCAAAATACCTGTTATCAAATTTGTAATAGGTAATAGGTTTCAATTATGTGTTTTAGTGTCACATTTACTGTAGATCTTTGACTGCAAATCATATGGATGTGGAATATTAGTTTTGAAAAAGACACTAACTGCATCATTTTTACATCGCAATGAGGTATTGTGTGTTACAGTGCATTCGTTTTCACATTTTCAATGACTAAAGACATCTTTGATTTGTTATAGATAAGAACATGGTAAAAATACAACACAGTCTCTTATGCTGAGTAATGCCATAGCACTCAAAGTAATATAAATGATCTTCTTCACCCCACACTATCGTTGCTGGACAGTTTAAATATTCACCATAAATAAGACTTTCAATAGAAGCTTGTGGTCCCTAATATTAACATGCTCGCTGCTATTACACTAGAACACTTGTAAGACCGAAATAAAAATGCTTACCTTGCAAAAGAACTAATCATATTTTATAAACAATGCTATTACTTTGTAAATGTAATCCTCTGAAGACACATTTCTCACCACATCTAAGCTCCATTAATGGACAGTTAAGGAGGAGAGGAAGGCATAAGCTGTCAATAGATGAAACAGTGTGTCTGTAGCAACCTAGCAGACCAAATCACAGCAATGCGCCTGCCTCTGCAGAGCCAGGGAGAGCAGTTCTGATACACAGGACAGAGGAGGAGACTACATCGCACACATATCCTGTTTGTGAAACCATTAAGTTTTAATTGTTTTATCCATAATATTAAGTATTAGAACCTATACACATTTAATACATCTTAATTATGCAACCTTAGTGTCCACACGTGCACACTAATGTCCATGCATGTTATAAACAGATGTGTCTCTAAACACACACATTTTGTCTTGGAGATTATTCCAAATTCAGGATGCAATGACGTAATAACGCAGTTTATAGGCTCATGTGCTGAGTTTAGTTTTCGTAAGTGATGTAATCTACCCTCTGTCGCACCCTGGCTTAAGCCTGCTCTTACAAACCAGCTTTGCTGGACATTTCATCTTTGTTCCCATAAACAATCCTAAAATACGACACTGCTAAGACCTGTTGTAACCATACTCCTAAACAGAAATACAAGGCTAGAGGGAACATTTAAAGGGAACTGGCAAAAAATTGTCACTTGAAGTAATTTTTTCTTTATTTAAATTTTCTTTTGGGTTATTATTATTGTTTAAATCTTCCAATTGTCTAATTTTTAAGTTTGCAGGTATTTGGGAACAAAAGAGCATGGCTGAAAATATAAACTCACATTCTACACTGAGACTGTGGGCAGCAGCAAAACTGACACTGATATGTCTAGTTTGATTGATACTGAAATGCTTTTGTTCAATCAGTTGTGGTTCATTCAGGATAATCCTAACACTGACAAACAAAGCCTCATCAGCATAGTACATGAAGCTGATAATCATAAACCAATACATAATTTAAAACTCAATGTCATGTGATCTGATGCAAACTGAGCCTCACTGATGTTGGACAAACAGTAACTTATGACACTTTGTAGTCCATATAGAATACAGAATAGCTCATAAATCACTGCCTCTTGAGTAAATAGAGATGATAAAATAGAGTTGATTATAAAGGCTAATCTATTTTTTTGTTAAATTACAAACCTGTAAATCATGGTATTCTGTCTTAAACATCTGGAAACAATACAATTCCCCCACACCCCTCCACTTCTCCCTCTCCTCCTATGTCATGCTTGCAGGATGTAACCACAGCTAACAATGTGCTTCAGTCAGATACATATGCTAATCAGGAAAATGATGTCACTACCGAGGCCATTCAAATGATAAATTAGTAATTACAAACTCTAGCTCTTCCTACTTTTCGGATAATCTCATACACCCAGCATAATTCCCTCATCAGAGGAAGTTCCTATGCACAGATGTCTTTATAGTTATGAAAGTAACTTGTATGTAAAAAGGGACTGTTATGGAAACAGTAGGTTTTTACTTTCTTAATATGTCTAACATATGTCTACAGTTATGTCTAACATTGTCATTCCACCAATCAGCTGCATCATAGCAGAGTAACCTAAACTAATTTTCATCCACTGAAGATAATTGCATTATGAATTATGAACATTATGAACACATATTAACAATACACAGGTTGTTAAGAAGCCTGTATCATTATCAAAAAACACATTTGCATAACTCATTAAAATCCGACATTGTGGCTTATTCCCCATTCTGCTTCTGTTTCCCTTTAACAGGACAAACTTGAAAGGAGTTATGAACTAAGACTGATAGAGATCAAACAGCAGCGCTCACAGATGGCTGAGCCATGGCCTTGCATTCCTGAGTCTTTTTTCTGCGCTACTGTATTCTCCTTTTCTCCTGCAATCTAAATATGGCCCGGCCCTCACACCTCTCCAGGTGCTGATGTCACACAGGTCTAGGTCTCAGCATGATAACTGACCTTTTTCACCCCAACAGCAGAACAGATGGACAGAGCAATGAGAAGCATGCAAATCAAAGGTTGCACTTTTTCATTGGGTTTTGTTTGCCAAATTAATGCCAAACAAATCAGCAAAGATCAATATTTACACATCACCATTGCAGCAACCTTGCATTGGATAACTCATTTAAACTGCTAATACTAAATCACACTGAAAAAAAATCTCAGTCAACAAAAAGACCTAATCACATCACATTCCCCTCCAGCACCAGTCACCGGCTCACAGCCACGCAGTTCTGGAGCCATGCATCAGAGCCACAAGGTTTGGAAAATCGCCATCATCCTTTTGTCTAATTAAATCTGTTCTATGAGTAAAGAGCAGAAGCCCCAAGCAGAGAGCTGTGGGAGAGGCTGCTCCCCACGATTAGCCTGTGAGCTGGATTACCAGACCTTCACAATGACAGCAGTCAGGAAATTATGCTCTTGACACACAGGCGTGCTGCATTAAGCTGGATCTGCAGAGCTTTATAAAGAATTGCCCATTTCACTCACTATTAAAAAATACTTTCTACATTTATGCAACACCTTTGGAAAAGAACCCATTCAGATTGGGCACTAATTACCTTCAAGCTTTGACTTTTTCAAATAACTAAATATTTTATGCTTTCATTCAAATCTTTCCACTATCAGCGTTGATTACGACAGATGTGTGATTCAATAAAGGCATTGCAAATCCAATGTAAAATGCAAAACATTTATCAAATTGCTCTTAACAGGCCTGTTGCTCTTACATTTCCATACTAATGAATCAGTTCAGTAATTTGAATAGTTGTATAATTTGTACATACTCACACATTTTTATAAGACACTGGGTATCCAAGTGGTCCTAAAATTTACATTTTATGATAACTAGACTGAAGAAATGGCCTTTGGGCTGTGAACTACACCACTATTTTCCAGCCTCTCTTCAGTGCTTTCCTACTGTTGATACTGGAGCTGGTAAGTTTCTTATTGATTTTCTGGCAGATGCCTTTGGCAAAAGCTGTAGCTGGCTAATATAATTGGCTTTCAACAGCCCCCACAGAGCAGAACTCCTCATAAATCAAGCCCTCTGATAATAGAGAATGTTGACCTACTAATCTGTAATAAGCAGAGTGCTTCATTTTAAAGACAAGGAAATACACCTTCTGCTTTTTGCAATCTGGCAAATGGTGCATCAGCAAACTTCCGTTTGATGGCAAAGTGCAAAGGAGCGAAGAAGAGCTAGTGACAGGGTGTGGCATTAACAGAAAGCAAAGACACCATAAGGTATATTAACAAACTTCTTCGTAAAGGACCTCTTGAGTGAGGTACTATTCCTTCTTTTCTGACAAAAAGCAACAGCATGATAGCACCATGGATCCTCTTCTGACATTCATGTAAATAATTGCAGCTTGATGGATAGGCGTCGCAGCCCTCAAAATGTTGTAAAATGTCAAACAAACTCCATTCTTTCAAAAGCAAATAGAGTAATATAATAATCTGTACTGAAAAACAACTAAGAGCACTGGCAATAAATAAATACAACAATGGTTTTATTTTTCGTGTTGATTTTACTTTTTTTCATCTAATGCAGCATGAGTGCAAAGCATGAGTCTACTCAGTTTTAGAACTGCTAGCCTCATTGTACCATCTAAAAGACGCTGTGAAAAAAGACTAAGGATCCAGGCTGTGCTTGGTCTCTCCTCAGAGTGACTATTTTTATCTCTGTCACTAGGTGCTCCTCCTTATCATGGGGCCAACAGTCTGTGGCTCTCTGGCATACAGCAAAAAACATCTTGCACATAGTGTGTGAAGACTTTAAAAATTTGGAATGACTGAAAAGACTTAAAGGTGCTTAAGGGTACTGTCTGTTTAAGGGTACTCTTCTGGCTTGTGTGTCAGAGATAATGCCTTGTCTTGTCATGAGTTAGTCTCTCATGGAAGCTTTGTTTGCCAGTAGCTTTCACTTTTGATTGATAGTCACAAGTCCTCCAATGGATTTATAAAAAAGCTAATATTGTAAGACAAATTATGAGGTGAAAACTGCTTTTTAGTGTAAAACCAAATTAAAAAATCTACTTTAAGCTAAAGATATAGCCACATGGTAACACTGAACAAAATAGTGAGGAACTATCATTCATAACGTCTCGTCTGTCACACACAAAGCTTTAGCTGGCAAAACATGACACACGTGTGTCCTACTTATCAGGCAACAGTTACTCCCAGGCTTTTGACGACATCAGCTGAGGCAGAATGGGAAAAGGATAAATGGATAGACTTGCTCCTAGCACTCACTTTGCCTAAAGTGGCTTCCTCTCCTTTCAAACCTCAGAAGTACTTTTCATATTTCTGCCCTTCTACTAAAAAACCTCAAACATTCATGATAGGGAACTGGCAGTCAAAACCCTTTTGGATAAAGCAGGCCACAGGGCAGCAATAAGGCAGTTCATCCTATTCAGTTGTGTTAAGGCCAAGCTATTTCTGTTTTCCTCTGCTATTAAGAGGAATGAATGTTAGTGTACACACAGCAGCAATAATCCATGCTTGTCCCTTCCCCCATCTAACCTCTACCCTTAGGCTCTTCCCCCTCTCTGGTGTCCATGAAAAACGTGAGAACTGTCAATTACATAATAGTCACATCTCTTTCAGTGTTATTTCTCCGTAATAATGTGCCTTTTTGGGCTGAGTGTGTGGCAATCTGTCTCTAGAAAACAAAATTGAAGGCAGATATAAAGAAGTGAAAAAAATAAGTTCACTCAATCACTACATATACTGCTTTTGCTGTTTACAGAGAGTTTAAAGAATGCAAGAACATTGTCCCCATTCTCATACAAACAACTATCAGCCAGAAATACTTGGAATTCATAGAAAGTATGCTTTTTTTGTGCCAAAAACAGTAATAGAGGCTCAAATTTAAACAAAGGCATTATTACATGTCTTTTTAGATTTAATGTAACCAACGTTGTCTTCTGTTTAATAGGACCTCACATTGTGAAATAATTAAATTCAAAGAGGAACTTATTTAGAATGACTAACATGACTGACATGGCACATTATTGAACTGCACCCACATTTTCAAATGCCGCAGTGTTCTAGTCCTTCAACTGGCGATTGAAAAAGCTAAGAAGAATACAAAGCTCACCAAAGGACTATAGATGAGTCTGACAAAGCTCATTTATAAATTATTCAAGCCTTTAACTGTTAATACTGTTAGCCAGAAAAACAGACCAACCTCACAGGGAAATGTGAGCTGTTCAGAAAGGAAAGTATTACTGCACCTAACATAATAGGATATGAAAAGGCAAGGGTACACAGGCTTACATTCAACAATGACCTGCATGTGTGGGTATGACACAAAGCAGATAGTACACACATGTACTACTGCCACCCACATAAAATGAAGGGGAACTTTTTGATTTACATGGAGCCACTGATCTGTGAGAGAGCAGATGGCCTGAAAGGAAATGTCTGCTGCTCTAATGTACTGCACTGTGTTGTGTTGGACTAAATCCGTTTCACCTCTGCTTATTGGCATATCACAGGGCTTTGCCATCTCAGATCTCGCACAGGGGATGGAGATTCCCTAGTCCCTGGTCTGCTATGGCAGCAGATCTCATCTCACTAATGCTGTTGCACAACCCTCAATCACTTTAATATATTTTCAGTGCACCAGTCTGCTGAAACACTCTTCTCATGAGTCATTATGTAATAACTCCAGCCACTCTAGTGGAGGGACAGCATCCACCGTGTAGCCTATATTTTAGTATGTTTTAAATTTTGTTTGAGAACCTTTCAGAGTAGGTCAAATATTTGCATAGGTTACATTAAGTAGCACACAGACCTCTGTTCAAAACAACAATCCAAGAACCAACTCAAACAAGCTCTCCATATATTTTCTCATGCGGTGTTATTCCACCAGACTTGTAATTCATGGTCCTTGTCAATAAATCAAATCAACAAAAGCATACATTTCAGCATATTTTGTGCATCATTTTCAAAAGAAATAAAAGCCTGTATGACAGCCAATTTCCCAGTTTGTCCACCCTTTACACTACAGAAGAATATCCCATAAAGTAAAAAAAAAGTACTTAAAATTAACTGGATTGCCTTTTGAAATGAACCCAAAATAAGGTGTGCTGTGCAAGAATTAACAATAAACTGCAAGGACAATTGCAAGTATATTGATGATATAGGAACTAGTACTCTTCAATAAATAACAACTATACAACTGAAAGCCAACTATACCAGCAGCAATATTGTTATTTACTTTCTCCAAGTGGAGGTGACATTAGTAATAAACAAAAGCAGTGATGAACATATGAGACATTAGATACTATGAAACCTTAAGACTTCTCCTCAGCTGCATTTTCATTGGTGTTTAATCTCTATTAATCGTATCTCCAATATCTCTCAACTTTTTATATAAAAATGTGTACTGTAGGCTTTCTGTCTTCTGTATTTTATTAGTGTCAAGCGAATTTATTTGGTACATATGACTGATATATAATACAGAAAAATGTTTGCTTTACTTGAGCCCTAGATGATGTTGAAACATATGCTACTAGTTACTAGTTTTGCTGCTCAGTATCAGATATGCACACTAAAAATTGATGCCCTCATTACAGTCTAGTACAGCAAATAATTTCTGGTCATAATAATTACTCCTGTGATTTCATGGTTGGAAATCATAGGCAGTTTTTTGTCAAAGCCTAACCTAACAGTGTCCAGTGTGTAACATTTAGGAGGATCTATTGGCAGAAAATGATTATAATATACATAGGTATGTTTTTATTATAATCACCTGAAAATAAGATTGGTTGTGTTTTTTTGTTACCTTAGAATAAGCTATTTTTATCTAAAGTAATCTTCTACGGAGGCCGCCATGTCTCTACACTAACACAGAATGGATAAAACAAAAACTTGCTCTAGATAGTGCCTTCCACATTTTTTGTGAGATTCATGGCCACAATAGTGCTACATGCTTGGAAGCTGAGCGTTTTTGAGTTGGTTTCAATCTGCACCTTCACCACAAGATGCCACTAAATCCTACACACTGGTCCTTTCAAATTGATGCGTAAATGATATGTAAAACTAAATTGTTTTGCACTTACCACTGCTGTATGAGGCATGGGGTTAAATCCACAAAGATTGCAGACAGTGTTCTTGCATTCAGTGCAGGTGTTGTAATTGGGATCCTTGGAGCCCATGTTGAGTTCGACCTTACAGAGTGGACAGGTGGACAGACCTGCTTTAGGAGCAACCTGGGTCACTTCTGTAGATTTTGGAGGCTCTGATGGAGTTTTCTCTAGTTTGGCCTGTGCTGATGAAGCAGGCTTAGACTGTTGAGGTGGCTCAGATTTTTGGGCAGCAGGGGGTTTGTTCTCCTTTGCAGGAGACATCTTAGGAGAAACTGGAGGTGTAGGTTTAGGAGAGACATGGGGTGTAGCCGACATCTTACGTGGAGTAGGTGGTGTAGTTTTAAGTTCATCTTGAACAGCTGAGGTAATAAATGTAGATGCAGAGCTGAAGATAGAGGAACCAAAACCAAACATCTTCCCAGTCACTGACTCAGCAGACTTTGCTGCAGCAGGTTGTGTTTTAGGACCACCAAAGCCATAGAAGCCTCCCGACTCCTGTTTAGAAGCCTGAGCTGGTGGTGGTACAGATTTGGAAGGAGGGGTTGCAGATTTCGAGGGCTGTTGTGGTGGTTTTCCAGTTTCTTGTTTTGCAAGGCCTGCCTTAACTTCTGGCTTTGTTGTCTGAGAAGACTGCACCTGTGGGGATTTTCCAACAGGCTGTTGCTGGCCAGCAACACCCTTGCCTTGTCCTTGTTCAGTACCTGAAGGGACCTGTGTCTTTTGCATAGAACCTTGTTGTGCTGTATCCATCCTTTGGACAGCAGTTGGCAATGGAGACTCAGCTTTGGCGGTCTCTTTTTTCTGTGGAGGTGGTGTGACCTCTTTTTTGACTGCAGTAGATTCTGTAGACTTCTCCTTCTGGACTAATGTAGGTATATCCTTTTGCTCTGCGCCAGGAGGTTTAAAAACCTTGCTTAGGGATGGCTGTGGTTTTGCTATAGGACGTCCAGTGGGCTCAGATGCTCCTAGTGCTCTCTGCATCTGGCAGTTCAGACA